TTGGTAATCTTCTACTCCTTATTTAAAATTGGTAAAATAATCAGCAATTAGTTAAAGAGTTTTCATGTAATGAAAAAAATCCTGTGAATATGGTTTTTGCAATATTATAAATATAATATTTCCGCACCATACTACCATACTACTTCTTATATTATTGAACATGATGTAGGTACCAAAACATTAATTAACATACTTCGAAACCCATCTCTGAAATAGATGATTGTCCATTATGTCGAAAGTTAGATATAGTGATCGACGGTATCATATCCTTTAGGGTCATTTTAAAGAGCGTAACCTAGCCCTTATGTCTTAGGGTTATCCGTAACCCACCCATTACTTAATTTAATGTACCCCAGCCACGGGCAACGTTTATGGCGTTGAGCGGTTGCACGAAAAATATTGAAATAGTAATATACACAGGCATATTATTTTAATGTTAATACAAGGAAATAACTTATACAACCTGGAATATATGAAAAATACAAATATTTCTATAAAATTTTGTGATTGATGTGAAAAATGTCTATGAGTGAGATGAATGAATGAAAGACCATGAACATCTCGTTGTATTTATGATAATTGAAATAATTCCAAAAATCACAATATAGATTACTTAATTGATTTCGAATATTTCAATATAATTCAGTTCAGACAGCTCACGTAAAATAGATGATATGTAGGCGTGGCGTGTTACACTCAAATATCTGATATAATATATGACACACCGAAACCATCGCGTGAGAATTAATAAGGCGCGGCAGAAATTCATCTTATAACTAAAATATATCATAAGCTATTACTAACAAAGATTTCATTAGTATATAAGCAATAATAAAATTTGATTGTAATCAATAGTTTTTTTAATAAATTTTATTTCTATATAAAAATTGATCTTCTAAAATGCATTCTCCAAATCATACTTGTTATTCTAATCTTATCATAAGGCATCCTGCCTATAAATATTTCTTTAATCATTAATCCGTCTTTTTAAAAAGCTTAGATTGCATGATCTCGACCCAACTAAATAACAGGTTCAGGTCAATACCTGGATATATAATAAATGTAAAGGACTCTCGCATGTACCCAAAAACAAACCAATCAAGAAGTAATATCAGTCTTAAGTCAATATTGAAACAAGTAACGTCATTATAACATTAACAGTAGTAAAAGTAACATATTCGTAATCAATCAATTTATCATCTTTTAATTATCTAATATAGTCAAGAATTACATCTGGTTTTTCAGCGTACAATCCGCAAAAAGTGTAGTATTTTGACAGAGTTCGGCAGCATCTCGATGGAACACGAACTCTTCATATATTTCATGTTAAGAACTAATGTTGTTGACAAATATTAAGTATATAATTTTCAACAGAAACTTCTAAATTTTTTAAAAAATACAATTTATTGGTGATAAATTGTATCTCCTAATTGTAGATTGTAGATAGCTACATCAATTGGTGCTTGATTAGCTTTCAAGTACTTCTGACTATACAATACTTCCAATCGTACAAATTCTGTAATGAAATAATGTTTATATTATACAAGATTAATGATAAAACATAATCGAAGTTTTATAATTTTTTTTTAGAGTTCAAAGATCTTCCTACCGATGACAATTAAATTTCTGCAACTTCGATTCGAAGTTTATAAATGTTGTATAGTGCGCAGAGAATATTGCAGAATTCGATCATTGCCGTAATATAATTTCAACGTATCGCACTTCGAGTAAACTTTGGTAATAACTCTTGTTCATTAAACGAGATCGGAATTGAGTTTTCGAAGACAACGCCGATAACAATACGTGCTAGAAGCCGCGAAATGCCTGCGCGATGTTCGGTATCGGGAAAGCAAAAGCAAAATTACTGAAGATATATTGTATTCATTAGTCAAACATAATTTATTTTACATACACGATAGCGAATTTGTGAATTGATTGTCTCCCATAACTTCGATCTATTTCAATACTGGTAGGTCAATGTATATACGTACGTATATGTATGTACGAATGTATGTATGCATACATATTATACCCACACTCACACACACATATATATATATATATATATATATTGTAAAAATATAGCATAGGATAGGGCGGGGCACAAAGATCCAATTTGACTTTCAGTTTTATACTGTCTAAACCCAATGAACTTCATCACAACACAAAACACTTATCAAACAAACAGCTCTCACACTATGCTCACTAAAATTCCCAGTTCCTGATTATCTAAATATGTTTCTTTATTGATTTTTTAAAATAACCTATTCCTTTTTGCCCCATATACGGGGTAAAAAAGGAAAGCCAAGGAGCAAACAGATCCATATTTTCAATATTAAAGAATTATTACAAAATAATAGCAACATTCTTCAACCAATGCGAAATGCAAATATCAAAGTCACATGTTTTCTAAAGGCCACAATATATATATACATATATATGTATACATATATATATATATATATATATATATATATATATATATATATATATATATATATATATGTATATATATGTATATATAAATATATAAATATGATCTAGTATTTCGTCAGAAACATTTACGAGCATAGTTGGAATAGCTAATTTAAAAATAACAATACATATGATAAAACAATCAAATAATTTATTTTTAAAAATTATATTCTAATATACTAAAAAAACAATTAACAGGAAAAAACTGTTGTTATAAATATAAGCGCCACTGAATTTAAGCCATCAACTCTCCTGATAAAAAATGGAAATACCTTAATCATTATTTATACGAAATTATTTAATGAGTAAATAGTTAAAATTATATAATTATCAATAACATATTATAAATTTTATATCGAATGGAAAAACAACTACTGAGTTGTTTTTTCCAACATGCCCTTGTAGTATACAATGTCCCTCTTCGGCCGACTATTGTAAATTCATCAAATTTATTGAATGTCCTTTACTAGACAGTTGTAAATAAAGGAGATAATAAAATAAATAAATAAATAAATATAATTAAAAGCAACGTAGAAATTAAGGTTATTTAAAATAGCAGCGTTAGAAATTCTGTACTTTATTCATTTTTGAGATAATATTGGTGAACCTTTTCACTTGCGGACCTTTGTGCCCCGCTCTACCCTATATGCATAGTTAAGATGAGTCAAAGAAATCTTTTGAGATTACTTTATAAAAATTATTTACTCTTACTTATACTTTTTTGATTCAACATATATTTAAGCAAACCCCTTTAGTTAAGTATTCCATTTGTGATACTATTTTAAACCTACATAATAAGTTATATAATTTATTTGAATACAGTGAACTCTTAAGAAAGTGATCAATGATTTCATGAATCCTAATTTTAAAGTGCAATATCAAATGAAATTAACAAAAATGCTTCTCAAAAAAGTGATAATTTTACGCTATAAAAAAAACTATAAAATTACTGAAATTTAATTCCAAATTCAAATATTTTTATAATCTTGTTATAATATTTCACTAACATGTATCAATATCAAAAGCAATCACTTCATGCATAATCACAATTTGACACAGAACATTTTCAATATGAAGTCAATAAAATGATTAAATTTTAATTTAAATCAATAGTCGCCGATAGGTTGCAATGTGATTTCATCAAAAACATGTTGAAGTTTATATTTTTCATATTAATGATTATAACAGTCTGCGGTGAGTAAAAATATTGTACATTTGACAAATGAATGGTTATTAGATTCTGCCTTTGTATTTATGTGTTTGTTCTATTCGCCCTTTTATTATTTTTTTATCCACATTAAAAATAAAATATAAAAACATTTTTTGCAGAAATTTCAAAAAATTATATAAATTTGTAATTTAATAATAATTTAGTAATAAAAAATAGGAGCCTGTGATGAAGATAGAGTCATGGTTTCGGTTCCAAACAAGATCGCAGCAGACTTGGTCACTCATTTGTCTATAACAGACACAGTAATATATCAGTGTCCTGATCAGGATCTTTCTTTCCTGCCAGATCATGATTTACAAGTGTCTAATATTTGAAATAAATTGTAATCGCAAATTCAAATCATCAATACTAAACAAAATTTATTGTGATATTAATATAAATATAAATATTGATTAAATTAAAACCCTCGGTTGTCTTTTTTTTCACTTACTGAATTAAATAATAAATATTCACTTTATCCAAATGATCATATCAATAATTATAATATTTCAAGTAAATAGATAATTTAAAAACAAAATTCCAAATAATTAATTAAGAATTTTCACCCAATATGATAATAATTTTGTATTCCTGCTATTTTTGACAAATAAATTGATTAATATACGCTGCCCAATCTTACAAAATGTTTTTATTTTTTTTTAATATTACTGAAACTTAATTTATTAATAATTCTTAAAAATGTTTTTCGTTTTGGAATAACTAACGTCATACGGAATTTAGAAAAAGAGATCAATTAAAAAAAAGAGCAATTAGTAACAATAACGATAAAGTCTGCATAATCAATAATAAATCTATTCTGCTAAAGTGTTCTAAATAAGAAAAATTAACACCATGCAACAGAAAATATTACTATTTTTGTAAAAAATGTCAGCACATCGCCAAATAACAGAATATCCCGATTTGGTTCATATTAACACAAAGAGTAAAAACAAACAATATATATCAATTATTTATATAAAATAGTGGGACTATACTACGACAAAATCCGTATACTATCTACAAACCTTAAAACAAGTTAGAGAATCCATGAACGATTGATTTTTATAAAGTAATTGTACAAAAAGTAACAAAGAGCCCAGAAACCAATACTAAAAAATTGCCACTATATAGCTTACATAAAAACAATATTATTTGATATTTTTATTATATATAAAATTACTTCACAAGTTCTAGCATTGATAACTACACCTAGAAATGTAACCGGTTATTTATGGCAATTACAAGTTCCATGACGAATGGATTACTGCACTTTATTATTTCAGATTATTTTATTTGAGTATAATAGTGCAAATGGAAATCTTTTATAAATAAATCAATCAGTTGCATCAATATATTTAGTAGTTTGCTATCCTTTACATTTTTAAAGAATGAAAGTACACTTGTTTTTCGTTGCTTTGGGTATTATTTGTAATCAAGCAGTTTCGCAAAGTAAATAAACATAGTAATAAATATTTGTTTATACTAATATAAGAATTATTGATTTAATACAACAATATTAATATATTTTAGGGTTCGGTTATCCTCTTTCAATTAATGGTAAGTACTTTACTGGTTTACAAAATGACAAATTGAATTGTTTTGATCTCAATTATCTAGACAAATTTCGTCATATTTATAAATTGTGCATAATTTGCTTAATCGTGTATTCAATATTACTTCTTTATTCAATTTATTATTTATCTTAAATTTAATATCATATTTGTATCATTTTTATATTTCTAATAACTGTTTTAGAAAAATGACTTATTTTTCTTATGTCAGAAATAATTTGACATTAAATGCTATTTTTCAAGTCCATTTCTATTTAATCAGTAACAAAGTACATTATTACACAAATTTTAATTTTAAATTATAAAGTAAGAAACGTTTAAAAATATTAATAATAAATAAAATATTATTCATATTAATCATTTTATAATCAATTCCAGGACCTATGATACCACCTCGATTAAATGGCATAAGTAAGTATAATAGAACTTAGTAGTAAGTATAAAAAACGTAGATTAAATATACTTACCAACGTTTATGCAAAAACTATTTCTTAAGTAGTAATCCTAAACCTCACGAGAAATATTGTTTTATAATATATAAATATAAAATATTGCATTATGGAATACGTCAAGGGAGCGGAATATAATATTTATTGATAAATTCAAGAAAAATAAATTAATGGCATGGAAGACAATGAATATTTCTGCGGTTTTGCCTAATATTTCAAAAGTAAGACCATATTAAAAATACATCGAATACTTACTTACTAACGTGCGATATTTACTTGCATTTTAATAATTAATCAAAAATAATTAATTGTTTTTTATAGAAAAGAGATCTTCATTTAGATTCAGAAGTGGTTTTCGTCGTAAGTAAATATTGAAATATATGTATGTATACATAAAACTTTTTATGTGTCTTTTTCAACCGACTTCGACCAATTTTGTTTGTTATTATTTAATAGATGTTTTTCCTTGTATAGAAAATTTATTTATCAACATTTATTTTGGATTATATTAGTGAACAATTAAAAGATTTTTTTGGTTTTGATTTCCCGTTTTAGGAAGGATAAGACCTGATATAATATAACGTAAAAAAGTACAAATAGTCCTCGGAAAAGAGCACATATTTTCAATTTTATTATTTTCTATTATAAATACAAAATTATTAAATAATAGCAAATAAAATGCGATGTCTATGTCTTCTGTGTTTGAGTGTATATTTGTGTTTCATTACTAATAATGTAAAACATTTTCATTGTCGGTTGCATTGAAATTCTTATGTTCGAAATATATTTTGATAAATTTTAATATAGTCCAAAAAAGACTGTCATTGAATTATTGCATCTAAAAGTATTTGATTAGTATATATATATATATATATATATATATATATATATATATATATTTATGTGAATTTGCAATAATTATGAGACTAAATTAAAAAAAATTGTGAAATTTTACACTAATAATGAAACATATCACAGTTTCGAAACGTTTGAAATTTAGATTTTTATGAAGTAAATTCTAATTAATTAAAAATTTATGGAACGACACCTGTTCTTTCACTTTATCAACTATTGAATTATTTTATTTTATTATTTTAGATCCATCAAATGGGCCATTATTTCAGCCGCCAGCATGTAAGTGCAAAACTCATATTATGGACGTAGAATAATAATCACCAAAAATGAAATGAAAATTTAAAATTTAGTTGATAATGTGTGTAAGTATATATCTTAATAATGACTGTGATTCTTTTACAGATAGATACAAATCTCATCCTTTCCAGACACTAGGTAAATTACATATTTATTTATATTTGTTAAAATTCTAGCTTAATTGCGCATTTATAACATTTAATATACTTTCGAGCAATTCATTTAAAAGATTTCTTTTGAACAAAATGCTACAATAAAGTAGAGTAATTTAAAAAATTAATAATTTTTTATTAGACAGATAAAATAATAGTGAGTTCAAAAAGATACATAAAAACTTAATATTCTTGTTCATTTTATTTCTGTTTTTCGAATTTTAATTTCATTTATTGTAAATAGATATGTAGAACACTTGAATATATTAAATAATTTTTGACAACAATTTGGTAACAAAAATTATTTATTTTTATAGCCCCTCCAATGACAAATCCATATGTGCTCCCACATCAAGGTAAATTGATAATTGATATAATAGAGTAATTCTAATTGCATTAGAATCAGTATTGTTCTTTATGAACTTCTATATAATCTGAAATTTAAAAAAAAATAATAATTTGTGAAAATAATTTAGCAACAAATATTGTTTATTTTTATAGCATCTGCATCCACAAAACCTTATGGGCCCCTTATGAAAGGTAAATATAACAGACAGTCTAAAACTTCTAAGTATTTGCAAATAATTTATTGCATTTAAACCAAAATTATTTATATGAAAATCTGTATAAACAAAAATTAAAAAAAATGTTTGTATTATTGTCTATTTCCACACATACCTATTATTATTTAAAATTTATTTAATTTTAAAAAAATCATTCCAATTATCCAAGGTAACCTAATATAAAACTCAGCAATGTATATCAAAATTAATCTTGCTATTAAGGTATATTATAATTTATATTACAGGGTTTCCACAAAAAAGAAGCAGACAACTAAATAAAATCGGGACAGAAGGTAATCACATTTTATTTTACATTATATATATATATATATATATATATATATATATAATTTTTTTCGAATACTTCTAAATACTATTTTTGTATCTGAGAATAATCACATCACTAGACATAATAAAACTTTTAGAATTTTATTAATATTTGATAATTAAATATAATCAAAATAATTACAAAAAATGTTTAAGCATCCATAAAATAATCCAAATATTTTTTTTAAATAGAATCAAGTGGACAAATCTACTATTTAATTCCTCCAAGTGATATCAAATATGACCCTGAAAAGTCCGCACTTAAACTGGTAATTATATATACTTATATATTAAAATGTAGTAATCAATAGATTTGGATCATAGTTTGAAGTTAAATGCATAAACAATAGTTTAATAACATGTTTTTGTTATTCATGCTTGAAAAAACGGTTAGAGTGAGTAAACATTTAACTTCACATATAATTTTCAATTTATATTTTGTATATATTTAATTGTATCAAATAGTACAATTTAATACTCATTTTTTATTAGTGCTTATTTAATTTTCAGGTCCCGCAGCCTTAAAAATCCAACAGCACCGCAAAATTCAACACTATATTATTTGGCAATAATAAATTAATATTCATTTTAAATTAAGTTTTTTGAAAGATAATTTGAATAATTGTATCATTGGTGTGTACTATAATGTAGTTAAGAATTGTAACGGGAATTAAATTAACACATATTTGTTGGATGAAATTTTGGTCTACATTAAAACAATTGTAATGATATAAAAAATAAAACAATTATATGAACATTAGCAAAAACTGGTTTTGTGGAATAAGATTTCAAATCATTTTTAAATTCAGATATTTTAAAGTTTAAGAAAAAAATTATGATTGATTACACAAGTCAGTTTTATACAGAAAACACTAATTGAAAAAAAATAATTCAGTTAAGTAATACGAAGACATAGTTGAATATTGCACGATAATATATTTTTTTTACAAATGTCTTACTAATTTTATTGATATTTGAGTACTTCATTCAAAGTATTACATTTAAATTATTCTTTATTTAAATGGTATATTTTAATATTTTTATTTGCCGATTTCAGTTGTATCAAATATAATAATAGAAGATTATATATTATTTTGAGTAACTAGCTTTAAATTAATAGGAAATCAATGAATTTAAATTATGATAATTATCACTAAAGATATAATATAATAAGTTCACTTGAATAATTGGTTCAAACATCAGTTTAGCGAAAATCTATACGTTTCTATAATTTCATATTTGCAGTAATAGTAAGGTGACCATACGTCCCGGATTGTCCGGGACAGTCCCGGATTTCCAGCTTGTGTCCCGGGTTTTTCTTAAAGAAATATTTGTCCCGGATTTTTCTATTTGGCCCGAAAGTCCCGGTTTTTCGAAAATCAATAGTTAAATTAATAAAAATTAAGGAAACAAACTAACAAATGCTATTTTTTTTTCAAATTAATTATGAAGAAAATGGAACATGTAGCTCGAAAAATATAAGTTATAATATATAGATAAAGAAGTATTGCATATAATAGTCAAAGTATGAAGCTTGTTAAAACTTCTTACTAAAAGCCCGCAATTATAATAAAAAAAATCATTTAAAAAAGCTGTTTTTATTGTATCCTTGAATAGCATTTGTTATATAAACGACTGGATTAGCATAATTAAAAATTCCCGTCTCGGATTTTACTTTAAAAAATATGGTCACCTTAATTAATAGGTGATAAAGTAATGTTTTAAAATTTAACATACAATTATATTTTATAAATGATAATATTTTTTTATTAGTATTATCAATAGCAAACAGACTACTTGCAAAGAACATTTTATGTATCTACATATAATATCCTTGAAAATAAATTTGCTCTTATCTGATGTTACTGATTTGTTTCCCTCGTAATAATCAATAATTGTTGAGTAATTATTAAAAAGAATAAATATATAATAATAGTTTCCCATTCCAATAAATATGTGTATATAAAAAATATGATAAAAATATTGTGACATTATCAAATCATGTTCATGATTTATGTTTAATTGCTTAAAAGTCGAAACATGTATATATTCGATCATAAAATATAATATCGCAATCGATGATGTAAAAGCTCCTTAATGAGCAAGCGTAAATAATTGTATTACAAGAAAAATTAATGTGTAATATTTGTTCCCAGTTATTTTTTTTTTTAAGAAAAACGTGTTTATAAAATTTATGCTTCAGGTTGTTTCTTAGTTAATGTCAATATAAAAATAACTTTTTTGTTTTTTGTGTGCACGTTTTTTTTCTGATGAAAGCAAAGCTTTAGAAATAGAAAGAATTTAAAAGATATATAAAAAGTAGTTAAAAATTCCAGTTTTGCTTTAGATCTAAGAACGCATTGCAAGAAATGAGAACATGGATGCATTTATTAATTTTGCCCGCAATAAAAAGTTTGTTCGTCATATCGTATGCAGCTGCGGAAGATCAAGTAATATCTACAGAATAATATTATTATAAATGTGCATTAATTTTATATTTATAAATATTACATTTATTGCAAGTAATTTGATCAATTACAAATTGAAAATTTTTTTTAATTAAAACTGATTTTTTTTAGATGGTTTTAATTTTAAATATTGATTTAAATTATTCAGAAACAGGAATATAATTCAGGTGTAGTAAGTATGTTTTACTATTAATTTCCTAACGGTAAAAATTATAGCATTGCTTTAAATGCATTACTATTTAAATGTATTTTATAAATTCTTAAATTAAGATTCTACAATGCACAATGAATGTTCTAAAAATTAAAATAATTACAGAGATATTTAATACATAATTCATAAAAACTTGCTTGATATACTAACAAAAGTATGTAATATGCAATATAAAATTAATTTATAATTTTAAACAATTTCTAATTGCAGGCTGAATTGCCTCCTTTACCTTATTGGATTTTGCTAGTATATAACAAAGATTGCACAGGTAAATATATATATATATATATATATATATATATATATATATATCTATTATATATATATATATATATATATATAGATGTATATATTAATGTATATATAATCTTGAAAATTATTATTGAATAAATATTTTCTTATAGGATGTCCACCACACGGTTCGCAACCAGGTATATAATATTTGCACTAAGTTTCGAATATATAAAAAATAAATTACTGTATGAAT